TTTAGATGAACTAGTAAAAGTGTGTGCAAGCCACAGGCTGTTTGAGTTCCACTCTGAAGCTGTGTGTGAGCACACATGCTGAAAACATGAAGTGGCCTTCAGTGGACACTGTAATCATTCCTCCCATTGGAAATACAAAAAAGACCTCAACAACAATTACACTGAAAGTGATGGCAGACAAAATCCACAGTTAAATATAAATAACGTGCAAATACAACACCGAAGCCCGGCAGTTTTCACAGACAGGTGCAAACAGTAACGCGGCAGAAATGGACACGGGGACGGTGATATTAGAAGTGACTAGAGAACTATAACCACCATTTTAAGGGTCATTTTCCAAATTACGAACGCTTACCCCTAGTGATTTCTAGCAATGATTTCTTAATGGCTTTAGAGAGAGCTTTTTTATTTTTACGCTATCCACCTCAAGATCGCTTTCTGTTCACTTGATACAATGCAGTGGAAAGGAATCAGTGGGCAACAGATTACATTTGAAAAACTTTACAGTAATGAGTCCTTCAAAAACCAAAGCTCCCGCGCTCAGAACAGCCCAAACACCAGGCTGCCGAGAGCTTTCATTACCAAATACCTTCTGTCCAAGGTAGAAAAATTGTGAAACTGTCCAAAGACCTCAATACACATCAGACAAACAAAAAACAAAGCAGACAAACATGGATTTTCTCCAATATGCCCTTGAGCTAGGCATTTATCTGCAGCTTTACTCTAGCACAAGTGTGTTCTGATCATGAGCCCAAAGTTTTTCTCTCTCCCCAAAGTTGAACGTCTTTGCCTGCCGACGTCTCCTCTCCTCTGTGCCTCATTGTCATTCCCTCTACTCTTAAAAGTTTGCTATTGTATCCAACACAACGGACCGTCCACTTAACGGCAGCGAAAACAATAGAAAAGCCAAAGTGAGTCTCCACAGCTTAAAGTGATTAGATGAATTTCTCACTAATCCCCACCTTGAGCAGGTAGGAGAACGCTCCCAGGGCTACCAATCGATTTGATACACACTCTCACACACAGATACACACACACTCTAACCTTTTCTAAACTCATCTCATCAAAACTATTCGGGAGCTCATTTCACTATTGTGTTCGGTTTTTTGGGGGTCCTTACAAAATGGCAATTACATCCAGCGTATTAACGAAGGTGCCAAACGATGGGACCATTAAGGGAGCTGACACAAACAGATCGATCGGATATACAACAGACACGTGGAGGAATGAGAGCAAAAATAAAAATCTTTACGCGAGGCAACGGGCAACACAAAAAAAGAAGAAAGAAAGAAAAAAGGAAGGGCTGAAAAGAGGAAACGGTGCAAAAAGCACACGCAAACAAACGAGCCGTGCTTTGTCCAGGCAGCTGTGACGGTTGTATTCTAAATGGGCCATTACAGCACAAACAAGCAGCACGCTCATTGATCGCAGGCCCACAGGACTCGAGGCACCTGAAAGGCTTTGTGCCCTACAGAGGCAGAGATACCTGTACAAAGCTCCCAGGGAGACTTCATAAAAAAGCATGGCGATCGTGTACGCCCCGCTATGATCAATATGTTTATAGTTTGTAAGAGGCGGATGTGGTGAGTTACAAGATGCTCCGTCACAGAGATTTGACAGGAGTGCTGCTAAATGCGGTAAAAGCAAACTTATGAAGAGTTTCTCTTTTGTCTCATTAGAGCTCAGGCTTAACTTTGTGACACGGCTGCTCATTAGTTACACCCCAAAGGAAAACAAAGGGTAAAAAGCGCATACATTTGTATTAAATGACTGACAATGAAAATAAGTTTAGTTCAATGGCTTTGACTGAGCTCCTGTTTAAGAAACTTTTTTTTTTTTGTTTGTTCAGATATGTAACCACTAAGGTCACGTTCACATCTGCGGTTCTGCTCAGCTGGTCCAGAAATGAAATATTAAATTTGCTGCCTCGTTATTTAGATCTGCCACAAACAAACCACGAGGAGTAAAAATGGAGCCTGGCAGACCGACAGGTAACTCGCTGATTGGGTGGGCTTAATGATGAAATCCTGCATCATCGTTGTAGGGCAAAGAAGTTGTGCAAGTTGTGCAACTTTTTTGCAATTTGTTTCAGTCTCAGTTTGTCTGCCATGAATGAACTGTTTGGTCTGCAAAATATCCAACAAGGGCAAAAAAAATGTCCATCAATGTTTCCTTGAAGGCGAGGTAAGGTTTGCAAATTGCTTCTCTTGTCTGTTGATAGACTGAACATATTTAACATCTACTACAGAAGACCAAGATGATACTCAATTATGTATTTCATCGAGTCGTTGCAGATTAATTTGTTTATGAAAAAACTGATCATTTCAGCTCTAAATGTCTCAGCTGTTTTCAGAATCGTGCACATTTATCTACAGAGAGCCAAAAAAGTAACGACTAATGTTTAGTATTATTAGTAGGAAGAAGCATTGCTTCTCTTATACCATGTGTAACAGGCAAATCGTGTTATCATTTTTATTATTATTTTTACCTCTCAAAGAACAAAGTCTATGATTATACCAGTGGACAACCCCTTCGCTATTACAGTAATGTCCACAGGTTCTTGGATGATGGCACTGTTTTATGTGACTACAGCAGATGGTTTTAAATCAAACAGTCATTTAAGTGATTAAAATCCAACTTTCAGCTTTAATTCAAGGGGTTTAACCAGGTATTGTTACAGCCATTTTTATACATTTGGAGAGCCTAAACAGCAACAGTATGATGGCCAGGTGAGGACTGTTTTATCAAAAATTAAGTACAGAACTTGCATTTGGTACTAGAACTCTCAATATGACGTACCAAGAGATGTTAGTGCAGGTGAGGGAGACCATCATTACACAGAAAATACTACATAAATCTACCAGGAAAACAGCAAAAACGTTAGCAGCGGCCAAAGTTAACAGTCTGCAACAATCTTCACAAGAATAAATGCACCGACCAGCTGACCATGACAACTAAACTAGATGATTACATGATTGTTTTCTCAGTCTGGAAAACTCCTTCACAACATCTAATCAAGTCAGAAACACTCTCGAGGAGGTAGAAATATCATCATCAAGGGTCTACAATTACTGGTTACACTGCCAGAAAACATATAGTGTTTAATGACCATGTGACTCCTGGTAGAAGCAGCAGGATGAACTGTGCAGTGTACAGGGCTTTACTGCCTGCTCAGATTCAGACAAATGCTACAAAACTGCCTGGATAATGAACCAAAGCATATTGCAGGAGTCTCACGAGGCAATTGGATATTTTTCAATGGCCAAGTCAGTCATCTGATCTCAACCCAAAAGGGCAGCTCATCAGTTATTAAATACAAAACTGAATGCAGAGACTCACAAACAAGCAGCAACTGAAGGTGACTGCAGCAGAAGCCTGGGCTAACCAGAACCTACAGGGACAAGAGAGTAACTGAAGAGACAGATCACTCACATACCACAGTTACTTGGTTATATCTGCACATAAGCACCTTAGAAGTATATTTATTGCCTCCTTGTGTGTGCACACAGTGTACATGTGCATGCCCTGTACTAGAAAAGATATCTGTGAAACTCCACAACACTTAATACAAAAAACATATATATTGAAACAAAACTGCTGGACACAATGAGCTTAGAGTAGCTAATTAACATCATGATGTTATAATTAGGTGAACAGCTGAAACTTGCACATGCTGAATTGTGCGCACTAAATCAAATACCTGTCTTTGAGGTTGATGAACTGCAGTTGTTTTCTTTATGCACCACTGCTGATATATGTGGGAGGGGGTTTTCCTCCCCTCAATTTTCAGCAGATTTCTTGCCTGTGGCATCTACACCGCTATATGAAGATGAAGCATGGTTGTGTTTTCACAATTTTTGTCATTGACTTGGTACTTAAGCCAAGACTGCAAATGCATCTAATAAGTCAAGGATTTAGCCATGAACTTGCTGAGACCTGACAAAAGAGGCATCTTCAATCACTGCAATATAGCGGAGATGCAGTTAATGTGTGGCTGTTATTGTGTAGTTTGACTCCTCTTTATCAGAGGCTCTGCTAAAACAGTGTTTTAAATCATTTTCACTAACAAAGTAACACTTCTCATCCAGCTCCCTTCATCAGCATATGTGACTGTATCAGCTTAATTGAACTCTTGTTTTTAACAAATAAGGAGCGAGGGATAGTTTTCTTTTTGCACATTTCACAAAAATGAAGGGAGGAAATGAAGTAAGGTGTTAGGCAGGTAGCACGTACAAAAAGAACAAAAACAGAAAGAAATCAACTTCTTCCAAACAGCTACATCTCATTAATATTCACTCCCAAAAAATACAAGATACTGGTGAATAAATTCTCCACCTCTCCTCTGTTACAAGAAAGAAAGAGGCCACTGTGATGGGACTATGTGAATATTATTTGACTGAAAGTTCCCTAAACTCTTATCATACTGTGTGACTGTTAATACCCTCAATATATGAGAGCAGCTTAACTAAAACCCCTGTCCTCACCCTTTACTGTAGCTGTAATGGATGGTTTGTGAGATATGACTTCTGAGATTAGAGTAAAGTATAACAGGAGACTTATTGTAAGGACATTTCCTAAACTGTGTGGCTAGAATTAGAAGATGATCCTGCAGGATTTGTTTGTAAAAGAACTGGAAATCATGTCTTGACATCCCACAGCCTCCTACGGTAAGATTTAAACAAATGTGGAGGTGTACAATGTCAACCTGGCTAAAAGAGTCTGTATCGAAGGCGAGGGGCGCCATCATTTCCAACATTCGTCTTTGAGAAGATGAAAAAGAAATAAGAAGCAGAGTATGTGTTAAGGTAAGAGCTGAAAGATCAAACGGATAGAGTGCACTCTTCTCTCACACACATAAAAAGACAAATCAAATATCACGTGCAGCCGAGCATGAATAGCTCTTTGTTGGTGGAAAAAGCGTGCAGAAACATGCCAAGCTACATGCCGTACACATGCTGGTGAGGCAGCCGTGCACAAACACAAATGAAGAGTAGACATACCAGAAGTTTTTGAAGGGCGTGTTGATTTCAAAGCCCCTGCGGTCCACGTCTCTGATGTTGGCAGCGGTCAGTTCCACTTCAGCGACAGCCAGCCCCGCTTTGTAATCCTGAAAATCACAAACACAAAGATAGAAAAAATTAAAACCATTGTTCACATTTTCTCAGCAAAAAATATAAAAAGGAACTGTTTATCCTCTTCTTACATTACAGGATTGAGTGTTTACCTGACTGTTAAATATGGAGCTAAAGCCACAAGATCGTTAGCCTAGCATTAAGGCTAGAAACAAAGAGAAACAACTAGACACAAACACTAGTTATTTCTATATTTTTTTCCATTATTCTTTTCACCTGCATCTTTGCAACAAAACAAACAAGCATGACCAAACGTTTCGTTACTCAGAATATACAAAACATAACTCTTTCTTTTAAATTTTTAACAGAGAGGTTAGCTAAGCTAAGCTAATATTACATGACATTTACGCTAACATCATGTTTGGAAAGTACACAATTAAATACCTTGAATCTTCTCAGCTTAGTCTTGACAAGGATGCAAATAAGTATTTCAATGAATTAAAATTCACTGTACTTTGAATTGCTTTTTTAAATTTTTATTCTAGCTCATCAAACAAGCTAATAATCTCAGGGTTCTCCTACAAAGAGAAAGAAGTCTGGGGCTTTTCTGTGTGGGTTTTACATGTTCAACCCATGTCTGTGGAGTCTCTCCAGGTACTTCAGCTTCCTCCCACAGTCCAAAGACTTACATTTGGTTAGAATATCTAGTGATTATAAATTAGACATATGTATGAATGTGAGCATGAATTGTTGTCCGTCTCTATCTGTTATCCCTGCAACAGCCGGTTCAGGGTGTAGCCTGTGTCTTGGCCCTTGTCTCTGAGCCCTCCATGACTCTCAACTGGATAGGTGGAAGAGAATAGATGCATGAATAGATGGATGGATGGATGACCATTATAAATGCAGGTATTGAAAGACTGGAAAGTAGCTAATATCAGCCTGCTGCCAAATCGGTTGGACTCTACTAATGTTGTGCTTATTTGCCTCTTAAAGGCCCCTTTTATCTTCTTAATAAATAAATAAGCATCAAAATTGATTGTGAAGTGTTGGCCTAACATGGCATTCTGAATTGTACCGAAGCAAACTGCGAAAGTTTTTTTTTCCTCACTAAATGAGTGTGACTTTCCTGTACATCTTTATTTCCCCCACTTGTAAAGCACAGACATATGCTTCAAGTTGAAAATGAATGCAGAAAATATTAAAAACAATGTTCCCTAAGGGGCCCTGCAAATATTTGGCTTCAACCACTGGGCAGTATTTCAAGCCCCTTCTGGTCAAATTACAGACCCTGCTTAATAAGGTGGGATCAACAGGTCAGCTCATTAAAGTCGCAACCTGTTACTCAAATGAGGCTTGAATGTCAACACTGAGGAAGAAGCACAGTCACAGCTGTATATATAGTATATACATAAACACACACACACACACACAGGAACTGGATATAGTGTTAGACTTGTGAGAGGGACCTGCTGAACTGTCATTGGCTTTCTTCCTCTCCTCACCAGTGACGCACAAACTGACTCTGTATGTGATGTGCGTGTTCGTGTGTTGCAGAGATACACAGGGATAAGTGTGTATGTGTGTGAGACACACAGAAAGCAATAGAAACCAGAAAGAGATAGGGAGAGTATACCTGTGCATAACAGCAAAGCTCTGTTAAAGCCAAAAGTTTCATCTCGGGAATCCAAACCAACCCGAGCTTTCAGCTTCAATGTTTTCTGAGGCACATTTCAGAAAATAGGGGTTATGTGCAGAGGCACAGTTTTCACAAGTTCCACTGTAGCTCTACATGCCCCTCCCTTCTCCCACTTTACCCTCAACACTCACAGCAGTTTAGACCATTTTCTATAGCCTAGAGCTCCGAGCCAGAAAGAGACGGAAAAACAGACGGGGAGACGGAAGAAGCGCACCCACTCCCACACATATAAGTAAAACATCAAAACAGAGCCGAAAACCGAGGGGTTCCAACTTTACAGTAAAGAATAATACACACTCGAAAGCATCCCTGATGCACTGAGACAAAGCCAAAAAGACGTGACTCAAAAAGATGAGGGTGACAAAGAGCGCGAGAACACAGAGGAAGGGAGAGACCGGGGAGAACGTGCATGTGAAGGGAGGTCGTGATAATCCTCACTGAGAGTGGGTGAGACAGGCGAGGGGTCAGCTGAGCAGTTGACAGAGAAAGTGTGTGTTTGTGTGTAAAAAGCCAGACTAAAACACCATCTACACAAATACTCCAACAGCGAATCACAAATACTGCTTAAGTGAGGAGCACTAAACGCTGCCACGCTGTGCCAGCTATAAATCATGTGTGTTTTCTGCGCTAACTGTTCTTCACCAGCGAAAACAATTTGCACTAATTACGCCCAAACAAAGGAGGAAATGAATCGACGCCATCGACGCTGATTAGGCGCTTTTTTGGAAACGCACGACCTAGCGGTGAGAAGACGCGCGCACGTGTGTGTGTGTGTGTAGGAGAAGAGCGCTGCCATATCTCTTGCTAAATAATTAGCAACCACCTTCTCAGAGCAGCCAGATTTTACAGATTGCAATCCAAGATGGAAGTTTACTTAAATATTTTTTCATGCTGCAGCATTTCCAGCCTGATCTTTTTGCTATTGTGTGGGCTGGATCAATTGAGGCTAATGTTGTCAAAATCTTCATTTGGCCGTCGTTAGCCCCAATTAGACTACTTCAAACAAATTTAGAGGACTGTAGTGAAAAGTGCGACCAATTATTCTCCCGTCCCACAGTTCCGCGCAACGATACCGAGAGAGGACAACGAGGCAGCGTCATGCGGAGATCCCGTGAAGCTTTATGAGTAATTAAGACCCTCTGATTTCACAAGAGGATGACATAAGCGACGGAGAGAAAGAGAGAGATAATGTGAGAGTGAGGCTCGTATGGCCTGGTCCTAATTGAGCTGAAACTTTTGACGCGGGGGGCCTCGAGGGCAGCAAAAACTTGCCTTTCTCTCCTATCAATTACAGCCGTGTACAGTTGTTGCTCTTTTAGGTTCAGCACGTTCAGAGGTTTGAAGACGCATGACGCTGTAATGAGAGCGTGGGGGTCATGGAGTAGAAATGCAGTCTCCTTCAAAGCTCGCAGTTGCCGTCCGTTCAGATCAGCAGAGGAGCTCGATGTGGCGTTATAAAAGAAAACACACGAAAAGCCCCGCAGAAGGACAATCGATTTACATGGAAGAAAAAGAAATGACAGCAGAAGGATGTCTGCATGTGTACGCGTGCATGCAGGCATGAGTGTTCACGCCTGTCTAAATGCATGTGCCGAGAGGGCAAAGCAGTCACCTATATCTAATGACCCTCATCTCACTCGGGCAGCCAATTAGAGAGTTGGGTGTTAGCGGCCATCCAGCCCTCACCACTCGTTACCTACCCAATATGTGCTGCAGCCTCCTGCCCTCTCCAATTAATTCACCAAGTATGGAGGGATGGAGAGAAGAAGCAAAGGCATTAGAGGTAAAAAAAAACAAAAAAACCCTTTTTACAACTGCTGAGGGGTAGGAGGCATTAATGGCGCTTATAGGAGGAGAGAGAGGGGAAAAGGCCCTAAGGCGAATGTTCTCACGCATGTGTATGGCTTACTACTGGTGGTCCATATGCAAAGCATCTCAGGGAGGTGAAACTAATTTTTTATTTTAAAAAAGATTAAAAAAAATAAAAACAGCTCATATCAACAAAATCTCGAGAACTGTTACAAGGCGTGAAGGACAAAGTCTCGCTCACGCTTAACCTCGTGAATTCTGCACAAAGGCCGTTTGGAATATTCCAGCCATGCATCCAATTATTTCTCTCAGAGCTTTCCAAGTCAGTCGCTTCTCAGCACAGAGCCGCGCTGAAAGAAACCCAGACAAATAGAGGCAGGGCTCCACGTCTATCTCCAATTCCATGACCACTCAACCACTTAAAGCTGCTCTAAAAGCATGCAGGGTAACACCGTCTCGCACAGAGGTAGGCGAGTTTAAAAGAGCACACATGGAGACAAAAGACTATTTGATTATTTTAAACATCGGGCGGCGAGGCAGCGAAGGGTGGAGAACACGGAAGTCACATGAACGCATGAAGACAAGAGTTCGATGTCTTCAATTTCTGTATTCCTCAAAGTCAGTTGAGGGCGCATTTCAACCAACAACCAATAAAAGCCACATTTTTGGTCATTTGGTTAAAACATTTTCACAAAGCTTGACTGGGGATCCTGCAGGTAGCTGTAAAGACTTTTAAGACTCTCACAGCTCTTCCATCGTGAGATTGTCTGGAAAAAATAAAGATCATAGGTTTCTGCAACTAATAGCACATGACTCCAACGAGTGTCAGTCCACCCGGACCTTAGCATGCACAGACCTCAATCAGGGGGACTTTGATTATTCTGAAACTTTTATTCTAGCTCCAGTAGAAGGTCAGATTCATTTGGTTTATTTCCCCCATCAGCCTCAGCTGCTCTTTGTTCTAATTAACAAATGCTAGCATGCAAACACACAATTAATACCACTTTCAGACAGCTACAAGAAGCATCGCAAGTAATATTCTCGGTGCAACCTTCATTTGACTACAGCTGACAGCATCTGCCCACAGAACTGACAACACACGACAGTGTCACAAACACACAAGACAGTCATGGATCTTTATTTGTGTGCAGCTTAGATCAGATGAGTCCTGAGTGTGCGCGCAGCAATGACTAGGAACAGCAACGTGTTTGCTGGGCCTGCAGCAGGTGTGAACTTACTGCATGATGGTGTTTGATTACAATAAAGTTAAAATTATTGAAAGTGCAACCCCACCGCAAGCTTTTGTCTAGTAACAATTTGTGGTCACATTCAGTTTTAGCTTCACATGCTGTCTGGTCCATTTACTTGACTCACGATGTTACTGAAAATAGTGTGATGGCAGCGCAGGCTTCAAGGCTGTATATATGTGATAGACAACAACTGCGAACAGAGACACAAACCTTTGGCAGCGAAACGCTTTTATATTCGGACTGGCAAGAGGTCAGTAATGCTTCTTTTCCACTAGCGCCT